CCCCAAAACCCCAAAACCCCAAAACCCCAAAACCCCGTTCATTTTTTATGAAATTGAAAACACACATATCCTTCCAAAAATACCTCTGTTGCTCTTTTAACCCAACATCTTAGTTAAAGCTATCATCTGAAGCATTTTCCCAGAACTCTTTATCAATATGACCTATGACATCATCAAAATCAACATCATGAGTTTTATATTTCTGTAACTCCACCTCCGTTTGTTTAATATCATTCTCAACGTTTTCAAGTTTTGCAGAGTACTCTTTTAAGTCTAGCTCATACCTACAGTCTCTTTTAAACAAAGCTTCATAGAGCATCTAAGAATCTTGAGTACTTACTTGAAGTCCTCTTTATTTCCTGTCCCTTATGAGCCTATTCACTTCCTCAATTCCAGAGTTTAAGTCTACTTTAGATTGAATAAGTTTGGAATTATTAACAGCAATGATGGGTTTTGTGGAATTTTAGATTTCAGAGAATTTTTTGGAATATTAGGTTCGATTTAAGGTTGAGATTTGACTAGTTTATGAGGTTTAGTCTTGATTTTTGTGTTTTTGGTAAATTCAGTTTTAAGATTTTTAAATAAATACAAAAGTGTGGGTTATGGAAATTACCTAAAATTTGCGAATTATTGTTGGTGTCTTTATAATCCTGAATCAACTGTTGATAGTTTTGCTCAATTTGATCTGCTTTTGCGTTGAATTTTAGCTGGCGTTTCTCCAAAAATGCTTCACTTTGCTATCACACAGTAAATTTTTAATAATTTAAGTAAAGATCAAAGCTTAGCTATACGTATTGTAAATTCTGAAATATCATTTCCTTTTAAATTGGTTACCTTCTTTTGATGCAAATCCTCTTCTATTTTCTTCAGTTTCACTTCTTTTTCTTCCTGGCATTTTGTTAAACTTCACAACTTAGAGTGCATATTTATCATCTGAAATTCAAAAGGGGTATAGAGGTTGAGAAAAATTAGTATCTTTTTATAGCAAACTACACAACAAATCTTTGGGTCTCTCTTCTTTCCTTGAAAAGGGACTCTCTTTGAATCCCATTTGTCGCATATCAAATGCCCTCATAAGCTTCAATAACCCTTCTTTGTCGAACCCTTAGTATTTTTGGTATAATCCTGTTCATCTTGTCAGCACAGACAAGTATTTATATTTCCGGAGGTGGAATTTCTTGGAAGATTTCGTCTTCAGGATCAAATCTGAATTTCTTATCCTGTAATTTAAAACATTTCATCTCTGGCTTTAGCATAGATTTGATGCCAGAACCATATTTTGACAAGTCATTTTGTAAGCAAGAATTCTTTGTGTCTTCTTGTTTCTCCATTAGAGATAAAATATTAATTCAATAAAAATTAGATATTAAGGGGTTTTGGGGTTTTGGGGTTTTGGGGTTTTGGGG